GAGAAGCGTGCTCCACTAAGATCGTGTGGGAGACACAACCTATTTAATGAAAATGAAAGTCCCACTGAGACTGGCCTTTAGATAGTTTGAAATGTGCAAGTGAATGTAAACCGCCTCGTTTTCCACTTTCCGTCATCTTCACCATGCCGTCGCTCGTGACCCGCGTGGGTGACCGTACAAGTCACGGATCTTGATGGTTCCTTCCCCGCTCGCGTCTTGAGGTGGGGCTATTTAAGCAAAGGTAAGGCGAGCCTCTTAAGCCCACTCCGATCCCAACCTTCTTCCTCCCTTACCATCGGACAAACAAGAGAAACCCTTCAGTTGCTCCTAGTCTCCCGTCGCCATGGCTACCCTAGACCTCCATCGACTCTAGTGCCGCTGGGAGAAGGCCTTCATGATCAGCTTCCGCCATCACCTAGGCGTGGTTATGTCCGCTCATCCTGGGTGTTAGAGGATGTTTCACGAAGGTAGGGAGGAACGCCTCCATGGTACGATCGCGCTACTGATCGCCATTCGCGGTTAGAGCATGCAGAATCGAAACCATGGAGAGCTTTCATTGGAGTAAGGGCCCTAGCGCTGGTGGATCTTCCAGAGCTTTCACTTGAGCAAGGGCCCGAGCATCATCTGGATTGGTTTCTTGAGCCAGAGCAGTTCTGGCTCACGAAACCAATCCAGATGTGGGAATAGATATCCACGTTGCTCTGCTTCTCCTCTTGCTCCCACTGCTCCTAGGGGGATGTTAGAGGAAGTTTCACGAGGCTGTTCCCTATCTCCATTCTCCTATTTAGTCAGGTATGGGTTACCCCCATACTTGTAAGGTCTTTGCAAATGGAAGAATGTTGTTGCATCTAGCTTCATCATTGATTGAACGTATTAAGGAGATAGATAGATGCAAATGACCCTTATCCAAAGCAAAGCAAGTTATGAGGATCGTTGGAATGTCGTATTTCAATTCCTGGACCCATAGATTGTATGTAGGGTATAAGATATATTAATGGAAGATTTATTGTTGAATGTTGGACTCAGTTCTAGTTTATTTCGTACTTTGGCCAGTCTCAGTGGAGAGTTTCATTACATTGTTTCCAAGATGGGCCACATCATGTAGAATAAAATGAAATATGGATGAAACACCCCTTCTCAATGGAGAGTTTCATTCTAAACTTTAGCAGGAGGAAACCAAACAGGCTCTTAATCTAACATTTTTCTAGTTACAATTGGGTAGAACGAGTGACGGTTTACAATCGGGTAGAATGAGTGATGCCCTCAACCAGGCAGCAGCCACCGCCGTCCGTGGCGACAATGGCGTGGTGGCTCCTGGAACATCTTCGTAGGACCCATTCACCACCACCGGTAGCCTTCACCGCCGCCTGCATACGGTCTGGTTGGTGCACAATTTTCATTCCTAGGTCTGAAAGGGCTGCTTACAAAGCACGCTCCCCACCCTGTGTCTTTCTCCTCGCCCATAGCTTTTGTTCCTTATTGCCGCTCCTTGCTTCCTAGTGCTGAACTGCGCGACCGCCCCTACTTAGCGGGGTAAAAGCCGCCACTCACTGCCGACAAGCTAGTACCCTGCGGTGGTATGCCTCACCGGCAGGGCCCATATAGATCCACCGGTGACCAGGCTGCTACTCATCACCGCCATGGCCACCAATCCCTCAAGATCCAAAGGCAATGGTAATTCTTTCGCACTTTCCTCCATCTTTCTTAGATTTTTATCCCCCTCTTCACTCATCTGAATTCGAAACAAGCTTCCATCTGTTTACTAAGGAGCTCATGATCCAATCTCCGTAGGCGCTCCTTCTCTGATTCAGGCGACAGCACAACTGCTTCCATTGCCGGCCCCGCTCCACCAGATCCTAGTCAAGAACTAAAGATGGAGGAGGAGGCCCCAACAAGAGGAACGAAGTGGCCGTACTCATAGACCATGTCTTCATCCTCATCCTCCAATGTCTCACCGCCCGCACCTTGTACAGCTGCAAGTGTCTGTCGCTCCTAGAACCGCCTCATCTCCAAATCCGAGTACCGTAAGGAGCTGCCCTAGATTGTCGTCGGATTCTTCTATCGCAGCTGGAAAGGCAAATGCAAATTCATCAATATCAACGGTGAATACCCCTCCTTGACCTTCTTGCCCTTCCCCATTGAGGATGTTGTGATCTCAGATTGCTGCTGCGGGCTCATCCTATGCTGGTGCGTTGGGTTTCGCTATGTTGTCTGCAATCCAGTGACTAAGAAATGGTGGTTACTGTCGGATAACAACTGTTCTTTTGGTTTAGCTCGCTTGGGGTTTGATCCGACATTCTTCTCTCACTTCCATGTGATTGAATATGGGAAGAAGAGGGCCGGTGAGTCCGTAGGTGTGAGCATCTACTCATCTAAGAGTGCAGCATGGATGTTTAAGGAATCTGAATGGGGCAAGGTTGTTGTACGCACATATTCGACAAGTGCGTTTCATAATGGTTTTATGCACTGGCTGGAGTTGTCCTAGATAGTTGCTATTGATATGCAGGGAAAGACATGGAGGAAAATTCGTAGGCCACATGGTGAAGCAATCTCCATCCATAAAGCTCAGGGTCAGTTGTGTGTATATACAGCTAGTATGTTTAGGAAGTATCAGCTTTCATTCTAGGTCCTAGAAGACTATGGTACCGATAACTGGATATTGAAGCATACGGTGACCACGCTGGAGATATTTGGACAAGACAATATTCAATTTGGTTACGATGTTTGCGATGTGGACTACAGAGTGATTGCAGTTCACCTAGAATGAAATTTGATTTTCCTTGTTGAAGAGGACAAAAAACTAATCGCATATGACATGAACCACAAAAAAGTTCTTGTCCTCCCTGCTTAGGTCGTGCGGTATCGTAGACCAACCTAGACGCTATGTCTGGAAGGACCTCACTATCTTCCTTATATCCCCTTATTCATGCAGTCAGTAGGAGAGTAGTAAAGTTGCATATGCTGTTCTTTCTTCAGGCAGGGAGTTGTTTTGATTCTATATATAGTCTAATTTTGCCTTGGTAACTAAAGCAATTGTATGTTGAATATTATTAATGCTGCTGCTTTGTGTAGGTTGTGGAGTCTGTGTGCTTTTGAACGATTTTCCTGCAATGTCTAAGGGAGGAAGAAGATGGGTTCCATGGTGCACTGGCTACCAAGCTGAAGGAAGCTTTGCCTTGCAAGCAGGAGTGCCAATCTGAAGGAGCGGAGTACATCTACCTCGTTTTCGTTATGTAAGTCTGTAGGGAGTAGAACCTTTATTCTCCTATCTATGTACTGCTTGTGTTAATTCTTGAGTTGACACAGTTGTTATGTTAGTGTCACTTCTTATTATAAAAAGTACTCTTTGTTGTGGACATGATGAATGGTTTGTAATGATTATATCTGTATGGTGTGTGTTTAGTAAGTTATTAAGGCCCATCTGAATTAGTAAATAAATTGTGAAAATCAGATGCAATTCTGTCACCGTCGAATGTAAGGGCCATTGTCTGTTTTGTCATCACCGTCGTAGCACTCGCCGTTGGTGAAGCAGATGGCCAACACCGCTGCTATTCGTCTCATGTGGTAGGGATCAATAGTGTATCACCGCCAAATCATAGTGCAATGCGACGGTGATCATTACCAATGACCAGATGGTTCATACACTGAAGTGACGGTGAGGTCCACCTCGATACAGACGCGTCGGGCGCCAAAGCGACGGTGAACACGCACTGCACTCAATCGGGTTGTTGTGCAAGGCGACTGTGATCCTGATCATTGGTCAAAACGGTGGTGTTAGTGTACACCCACACAGGCGTGTCATGGTACAATGCGACGGAAACAACGATCTAATCACGGATGGATCATAAGCCAACACGGCGGTGTTAGTGTACACCAACACAGGCGGGTCGTGCTCCAATGCGACGGAAACAACGACCTGATTATGGACGGATCATAAGCCAACACAGCGGTGTTAGTGTATACCAACACAGCCGGGTCGTGCTCCAATGCGACGGAAGTAAGGACCTTATCATGGATGGATCATAAGCCAATATGGCGGTGTGAGTGTACACCATAGATGGTCTCAGATAGGGATGGTGATGACTACGACTATCACTGCCGACAGCTTGCTGCCGAGTCCTAAATTGGACTGCGATGTGAGTTACGACGTGGCTGTGAAAGGTGCGAGTGTAGTAGTGCTTCGTAGCGTACAAGATCAGGAAGTTGTTGTAGAATAAGTACTGTTATAATCTCCACGTCTCCACATCCCCTATTCCCGATGGCTATATGGACGGCAAGGAAGACGAGGAAGATCAAGGGATACCAATGCACTTTGTAGAGATATAGAAAATGAGGAAGATCGCCTTCTACCTAGGCTACCCAAGTAAGAAGCAGGTGACCCGAACTTGGGATCAAGCCCTCTGTCATGCTATTGGTCAAGTTTTCAAATCCAAAAGTAGTGAGGAGAAGATAAGATGCCATCAGCAGTTGCTATGCAACCATGTCTTCCACTGTGTTTGAGCTAAGAGTGATGGCAACAGATCTGAGCTTGAGTACCTGCTTGGAGAAAGCTGAGCATTCATCTGTTCTAGTGTCCTGAAAGTTAATCTTGCTCTATATATGCAACAAGTCTTATTAGGGTTTATGAGTCGACTCGTTGCATATATAGAGCAAGATTAATTTTCAGGACACTACAACAGATGAATGCTCAATTTTCTCCGGGCGGATACTTAACCTTGGATTCGTTGCCATCACTCTCAGCTCGAACACAATGGAAGCCATGGTTGTGTAGCAACAACTAATGGCGTCTTATCTTCCCCTCACTATTGTTGGATTCGAGACGATCCACAACATGTGAGAGGCTTGATCCTAGGTCTGGGCCACCTGCTCCTTACTTGGGCAGCCTAGGCAGAAGGCAATCTTCCTTGTTTCTCAGTCTTGACAAAGTGCATTGGTATCCCTATATATTACTTGCCTTCGTCGCTGTCTGTAGAGCTATTGGGAATAGGAGACGGGTAGACATGGACATTACAATCATACTTATTATGCAACAACTCCCTGATCTTGTATGCCACGAAGGCGTCAATGCAGGTGTACTTGATGTGGTCCTCTATGAGGCATGTGTATCCAAGTTTCTTGTACGTACATTTCTATCCTTGTTTTTATGGCCATGCCCATCACCTCTTGCGCAAGGGCTGCAAGGTTTGGTACATTGTGCCACTCGCCATTTTTTTATCACAAACAACACCATGGCCTGAAGCTCCACCACCTTAGAAACTTGATTCAGTGGTCCTCCCACAACAGATTGAAGTTGTTAGCGACTACGATGCCGATGAAGATGTGGTCCTCATGCGCAAGGAAGTGCTTGAGGTTGTTGGAGATGCTGTTGGTGCGACACATATAGAAAAGAAGGCACCAGTCATTGACGCATATCAGCATGAGGGCCATCTAATTCTGGCCAGCCACCTTGTACCACTCGGTGCCTAAACCGATGAGGAGGTGCTTACGGTCTTCACGGGGGAGGACCTCTTGCAGAAAGCACTCCACCGTTGTGGCTGAGGACGGGCCTGTATTCCGAGCCATGTAGCCACCGATGACCTTGATCATTGTCTGGTGCGTGTGGAGCTAGAACAGGAGATGGAGGGCGATTGTCGTGCATGGAGCCTAAGCGGGTGGGGAAGTGGGGGCGTGAGCGGGAATGGGAGTGGGATGATCTGGACATGGTGAGGGAACGGGAGTGGGAATTGTCTTTGGAGCAGGACCTGGATGACAAACTGGCCATGGAGTGGGAGGTTATAGGAGATGGAGCCGTGTCATGCGAATGACTAAGGAACCCCCCACCGCGATAGGAATCTGGAAGGACACATCTGCATGCGTGGGAACATAGTATTTTGGTGCATTAATGGCATCGCTTAGTTTCCCTCTCCAGCGCACTTGAAGGACAACTGAGGGGAAGGTTGATTGGTGCTATTTTTGGTTTATGTCACTTTCATCTATTTCAATACCATTTGAGTTTTTAAAGCCCATGCTACTTTCATTATGGGCCAACTCCTGGCCGCGACAACCATACCCTTCCCTTACTATTGGAAGTAACCTAAGGTCACCTTTATGCGCCAACTCCTGATTGAAACGACCAGACTCTTCCCTTGTACCGTAGAAAATAACATTTTAAAACTTTGGTGCCACTTTCCAAAGTTCATCTTTAAAACTCTCTGGGGAGATCATCACCCCCACAATGTTCATTACATACGGTGGAACTTGGCTCATTAATACATCTGAGCCACTACAGAACCAGAGTCTAACAATTAGCTAAACTCTGAAAATACTCTGTATTTTAATATTATTAGGTAGAGATATTTATTAGTTTTCTTTCTAATGTTGGCAAGAGGGTGGTATTCCAAAGTAGGATTTATATTATATTCTTGAAAGTTACTGAAAAAATAAATTTAGAATCTAAATAATAATATGTTAAACTTAAAGACTTCATAATAATCTTTATGATCAAAATGATTGAATAAATAAAATATTAAATTGAAATGGCCTGTATATGATCAGATACAAACCTCCCGTCAAGGTCTACGATAGGAAACAAACCGCACTCCCCCCACCAAAGGCGTTTTGCGGCCTCTACTGTGCGGATGACTAGATGCGATTTGGCAGATCGAGCGGGTGATTGGCCGGAGTCCATTATCTGGAACTGGAATTGGGGATCGACCAACGGCGATCGGGCTGGTGAAGGTGTTCACGGAGGAAGCCTGGTCACGCTCGAGCCGCGTCGTCGAGCGTAGCGATATAGTTTCTCAATCTCAACGCCGGGACATCATGGTCGATCGTTGTGTACAGGTAATTTTGCATCAATCTAGCTTGTTTACCTTCAATTAGCTATTACATCAGTATATGCTTGGCTCGTAAAGGCCAACGACTTCAAGACATCTGGTGACATCAAAGTGAATCAGATCAAAGATCCATCCGTGAATATTATTACAGGTAACAACCGAATCTACACAAGAGAACGGAATAGGTTAGATTAATTTATAGTAGGATTTAGGCCATATGTTTTTTCATATAGAGTCCATGAGGATATCGTGCAGATCAGCTATACCTCTAAATTTGTGCACTACTGGAAACACGTGCTTTGCCGAGGGCCTGAGGCTTTGCCGAGGGCCAAATCTCGGGCACTCGGCAAAGACACTCTTTGCCGAGGGCCAGCCACAGGAGCCCTCGGCAAAGAACGGCCCTCGGCAAAGACAGGCCCACGGCAAATCAAATCTTTGCCGAGGGCCGTGGCCCTCGGCAAAGATGCCCTCGGCAAATTAGGCCCGTTGGGTCACGGCGGCCATTTCCCGTCAAGCTTTGCCGAGGGCCACCCGTTAGGCCCTCGGCAAAGGTTTTTTTATGTGAAACTAGTTTTTCGGTCAAAATTTTTTTTATAAATCGTCTTTTTGCGAGGGCCCAAGGCTGAGCCCTCGGCAAAGAAGCCCTTTTCTTGAGGGCCGGATTGGCCCTCGGCAAAGATTTTTTATTTTTTTAAAAAAATTCTTTGCCGAGGGCCACGGGCCAGGCCCTCGGCAAAGAGCCCTCGGCAATTTTTTTTTTGGTTTTTTTAGCCCAGTTTTTTTGTGGAGCTACAATACATTGTTTTGAACTTAATTTTAAAATTTAGGCAAATTTTGACTTTTTTTTGTATATTTCCTTAATTTATTTCGATTCTTTGATTTTTTTCGAATATGTCAAATTTAAACTGCAGGTGCATGGAATATTGTAATGTAGTGTTTCGAAAAATATTATTCATGTTAATTGGTGCATGTTGAGTCCCTATCCACGAACTCGCATCAAATTTCGCGCATCTTGTTCGCGTAACATGACGACCGACTTGCCAGAAAAGTGTTTTTAAAATTATATAAAATCCATACGAAGTCCGAAAATCACGAAACTTGGTGAGATGTCATGTTATCGCATGTGTGGGCTGTGGTAAAAAATTGAGAAGGTTTTGAGCGAGTTGCGATGTCGGATGCCTGAAACCCAGACATCTCCATGTGATCGCATGTGATCACATGTGGAGATGTCTGGGTTTTAGGCATCCGACGTCACAACTTGCTCGAAACCTTCTCAATTTTTTACCACAGCCTACACATGCGATAACATGACACCTCGACAAGTTTCGTGATTTTCGGACTTCGTATGAATTTTATATAATTTAAAAACAATTTTCCGACAAGTTCATCGTCATGTTACGTGAAGAAGATGCCTGAAATTTGATGCAAGTTCGTGGATAGGGACTCCACATACACCAAATATCATGAATAACATTTTTCGAATCACTAAATTGCATTATTTCATCCACCTGCAGTTCAAATTTAAAATATTCGAAAAAAATCAACGAAAAGAAATAAATTAGGGAAATGTATCAAAAAAAAAAGTCAAAATTGGTCCCAATTTTAAAATTGAGTTTCAAATAATGTATTATAGCACCAAAAAAATTAGGTTCAAAAAACAAAAAATTTTTTGCCGAGGGCCTGACCAATGACCCTCGGCAAAGAAAATTAAAAAAAAATAAAAAATCTTTGCCGAGGGCCCTGGATCTGGGCCCTCGACAAAGGGCCCAACCCTAAATCGACCAGCGGTCTGGCCCAAAATCCCCGCCCACATTTCATACGCCGCTGCTGCGCGCCGCCGCCGCTGCTCGCCTCGCACCCCGCCGCCCGACCTCCGCGCCGCCCCAGCGCCGCCCCGCCGACGCTGCCCCACCGCCCCAGAGCCGCCCCGGGGGCGCGCCCTGCCTCCCCTCCCCGTCTCGGTCGAGCAAGGGGAGCTCGGCCGCCCCGAGCAGCCCTCCGGCGGGCCCCCGCGCCGGCCTTCCCGCCCCCCGCGCCGGCCTTCCCGAGCCGCCCGCCACGCGACCACCGCCGCCGCCGACGCCGACGCGAACGCCGACCGCAGGTCCGCAGCAACCACTCGCGGATACTACTGCCTCCGTCCCCCGCTGCACCCGCTGCTTTTCGTCTCCGCGCAGTCGTCCGATGGCCAAGCGGCTCGCCGCCGCCGAGAAAGAGGTAGGGGCATCCCGCCACGCCAGCAGCACCCGAACTGGGCTAGCCTCCTCATTTCGCTCACCCGTTTGGTCTGCGCCAGGTGCTAATCGAGGTGGTGAGGTTCACGCAGAAGAACGGCCTGAGTGGCTGTGACGGCGGGTGGAAGGATTTCCTGGCCCGGAACGACAGGAAGTTTGGCGCGTCGCTGAGCGACCCCAGGAAGCGCACCAGGGATGTGCTGCTCGCCTTCGTGCAAACCTTCTACAAGGATTTCCAGAAGGTTGGCTACTCTTTTGTTTTCTTCTTCACACTTCAGTTCAGCATGCCTGGTTTCACTAGCAGCTGCTGCAGTCTATAAGCGGCTTGGTAGTTGGTACTGGTTAGTACTGGTGTCGATAGTTAAAACGTCCCAACATTTTGGTTCCAGTACTTCGGCAAATTGGTGAAGCGTCATAAGGAAAGAAGTGCCGTTCAGCAGTATATGACTGATTTTCCTGACGAAGTTTCTCCCGAGCAGGTGATATGTATGCTAGATCATGCCATTTGAATTTGTGCATTACATTGAATAGGACTGACGCCTGGGTGTCAAGCATCAGTTGATCAACAATTGTATTGATGTGCATGCTAAATGCAGAAACTTGTTCAACTGACGGCAGAGCACCCGGAGTACAGAAAACACTATTGCTTCCCATCATACCAGGAGGTATGAGCTTTACTGTGCTTCTGTTAATCCACGAATGATGATTAAGCCCTTTTGGATTGTATAGTTTCCTTGGTGATCTTCCTTTGATATATCCTATTCATGATTTAATGACGAATTCTTAAACAGTGTAGTCCAATAATCTTCATGATTGCTAATACTCTGCCTAGAGTTGCACCTTATCTTGTACTCTTCACAAAGGCATGCATTTTGCTAGTCAAAATTCTAAAACAAATGACTGATTTATACTCTCATCCCCACAATGGATGAACCTTTTGTATCCACATTGTTTGTCTCATAATTGATAAAAAAAAAACAAACAATGAGACCGATCCATAACTAGCTATTACTGGTATTTTCTGGGGTGGAAAGTACTGCGGATAGGAGAAGTCTCTAGTTTAATGAGCTCAAGTGCTATGTTGGCAATTGACTGTGAGATGGTCCTTTGCAATGATGGCACAGAGGCTGTGGTCAGAGTGTGCGTGGTAGATGACAAGCTCAAGGTACTAGATTATTTAGTCAGAACAAGTATGTTAAGATTCATGGAACTATCGTGTGCATTAATGGACATTGCTGTAATGTTAGATGAATTCAATAAAGTTTCTGTCAAAACTTACACAATACATATTTCCTTAGCATTTATTGACTATGAATCAATGAATCATGTCAGGGATTTCCATCTTTGTTCCAAGGTCTCACCATATTCTCTCTTTTCTTCTCCAGGCTAAGTTGGACATACTTGCAAACCCCTTGAAGACTATAACTGACTATAGGACACACATCACTGGTGTATCAAAGAAGGATTTAGAAGGAGTCACATCATCATTAGTTGATGTTCAGGTATATTGTCTTTAACATCTAAGCATTTTCTCTGAATATTATCTCATGGAAGTTATATCCCTTCTCTAGAAATCGCTGAAGAGAATGTTATCCAAAGAAAATATTTTGATTGGCCATAGCTTACATAGAGATTTATGCGGTAAGGTGTGGTTATTTTGTGTCTGATCTATCTGATGTATCAATCGGATCTGTACTTTGTGTTTACTTGAACATGCTTCTTTTTTGTTTTTAGTACCATTTAATTCAATTCGTCTCGTTCTCTTCTCTTTTGCAGCCTTAAAGATTGATTACTCTCAAGTTATTGATACAGCATACATATTTAAGTATGCAAATTTACCTACTACTGCATCACCTTCCTTAAAAAGTTTGTGCAAGGTATTGCCATAAAGTCACAGCACAGCATCTGTCTTCTTATCTGCTTTTGTTTACTGAGGTGAACAAGTTTTGGCCGATGGTGCCAGTTAAAACTTAGTTCAGGATAGTGATTGCGAACCCACTTTGTCTTCCCTATTTCTCCCCCGAGTTTTGTACGCTTGTACTTGATAGAACTATATGTAGGGTTGTCGTTGTAATATATTGTGATTTGTGGTTCACAATTATGGTTGTGATATATTGTGAGAAAATGGGTTCTGTGTGATATATATATGTGATGGTTGATATATATATGTATATATATGAAATGCTTATGTCGATGGAATGCAAAAAACAAATTTTTTTTTAAATTTCTGCCTCTTTGCCGAGGGCAATGACCAAGGCCCTCGGCAAAGAAGGGTCCTTTGCTGAGGGCCGTCCCATTGCCCTCGGCAAAGATCCATTGGAAAAATTCTGGAACATTTCTTTGCCGAGGGCCATGGTTGGAGGCCCTCGGCAAAGACTTTTTTAAAAAAAATTAAAATTTCTTTGCCGAGGGCCTTCGGGGAAGCCCTCGGCAAAGATTTTTTTTTAAAAAAGAATAATTCTTTGCCGAGGGCCGTCCCATTGCCCTCGGCAAAGATTTTTTGGAAAAATTCTGCAACATTTCTTTGCCGAGGGCTATGGTTGGAGGCCCTCGGCAAAGATTTTTCAAAAAAAAAAAGAATAAATCTTTGCCGAGGGCCCCCGGAGACGGCCCTCGGCAAAGAAACCGCCAACGGCGCTGGCGCGTGACGGCTTCTTTTCTTTGCCGAGGGCCGTCCTGGCCCTCGGCAAAGGATTTGCCGAGTGCCCGATAAAGGGCCCTCGGCAAAGACCCCTTCGCCGTCTAAAAATTCCCCGAGGGGTCTTTGCCGAGGGCAGCCCTCGGCAAAGGCTTTGCCGAGGGTTTCTGGTCCTTTGCCGAGGGCCAGAGGCCCTCGGCAAAGAATGCGAGTCCAGTAGTGGTGACTGGTGTATATAATATCTCAACAAGATCTCTACTGTACTAGACTAAGTGGCAATAGTAAACTTATTTGTGTGGAAATTTAATTTATTTCATATACTACTGGAAACTCGAATTGTTCTATGGGTGATTAATTTTTCTGTGCGTTTTTTCGGTACGCACAGAAAAATTACGATTTTTCTATCGGTTTTAAAATATCCCGACAGAAAAATACGAAAACTCATGTGACAATACACACACGGAAAAAATCAGCACTCACAGAAAAATACAACTATATTCTGTCGGTTATTTTAAAACGCATAAAAAAAAAACACACACACGGAAAAATTCAAACGACCAACCCCTCCCTTCTTCTTACCCCAGCGCCCCCCCTCCCTTCTTCTTCCTCCGCTTTTGAACCCCAGCGCCCTCCCTCCCCTCCCCTCCCTTCTTCTTCCTCCTTTTGGACCCCCAGCGCCCCCCCTTTCTTCTTCCCGGCACCCGGCCCCAGCCCCCTCCCCTCCCTTCTTCTTCCTCCACACCCGTCTTCCTCCGCTTTTGAACCCCAGGCCCCCCCTTCCTCCTTCTTCCTCCTTTGGGACCCAGCACCCCTCCTTCTTCTTCCCCTGCACCCGACCCCAGTGCCCTCCCTCCTGCCGCCGCCCCTCCCTTCTTCCTCAAGGCCGCCCCTCCCAGCGTCCCCCTCCTCTCCTGGATCCGGCCCTCCCTTTCCTGGATCCGGCCGGTGGAGGCCGGATCTGGCTCTGTGGTGGCGGGCGGAGGCGGGACGGCGGGCTTCATGGTGCTAGCGTGGTGGTGGTGGTCCCGGTGCCGCCCTCCTGCCCTTCTTCCCGGGCGCCCCTCCTCTCCCGGATCCGCCCTCCCTCTCCCGAATCCGGCCGGTGGAGGCCGGTGGCGGCCGAATCTGGGCTCTGGTGGTGGTGGGCGGCGGGCGGCGTGGCGGCGTGGCGGCGGGCTTCGTGGTGCTGGCGTGGTGGTGGTGGTCCCTGGCGCCACCCCTCCCCAGCCTTCTTCCCCGGCGCCGCCCTTCCCTCTCCCGGATCCGGCCGGTGGGCCGGTGGCGGCCGGATCTGGGCTCTGGTGGTGGTAGGCGGCGTGCAGCATGGTGGCGGGCTTCGTGGTGCTGGCGTGGTGGTGGTGGTCCCCGGCGCCGCCCCTCCCCGGCCTTCTTCTTCCCCGGTGCCGCCCCTCCCCGGCCTTCTTCCCCGGCCCCCGTCCCTCCCTCTCCCGGATCCGGAGCTGTTGGAGCTACCACCACCATGGGTATGTATTCACTACTGGAGCTGCTTCCTCCACTGCTCCTATTTTATTAACAGTAAGATGACCTCTTGGTTGCATTGTTGGGTTGTTCCAATTTGGTTTAGTAGTAGTAGCACCTCCGATTTGTTGTATGAATGAAGAAATGCATTGCCATTTTGATTCATGAAAATCACAAGTAGAACTATACTAACATAATTCACGATTAGTAGTGCATCAAATATTTCTTGAACATATATGAGCAATGGGTCATCGATTTGATCCAAATGGGAGCTCTTCATTGTCTTTTATCAAGAATTTGACATCTTTGAAAATCACAAGTAGAACTATACTAACATAATTTATCAGTAATGTAAGAAATATACATGGATGGACCACTCAAATAATGTCATTATATTTGAATTTGAGGGAGCAATGTAATAAGAAGATTTTCTTGCAAAGTTAAAATACAATTTTAACTTGTTTGTTTTGTTACCCAGGTTGCTTTTCGGTGAGATGCTATAAAAGCAAAGATCTTGAATATCTTGCATATATCAACCTTGATCAATCATTTTGATATGTGATATTTGGCGAGCGAGATGATATGGAACCCAGGTCTCATGCCGCTACTGCTCTCCCTTCCCTAACTATGCCTTGTGACTTTTTTGTTTTGTACTACCCTTGAGTGGTGTGATGAATCAAGTTTCCATTAGAGATCTTCTGCTTTAGCACCTTATGAGTGGTACTTGGGATATTTTGTTCTGTTTGTTGCTTAACTAGGATGGCTTGTACCAAAGACAAGCAACCAGATTCTGTGGCCGATTCAATTCCCATTAGAGAGAGAATTAAATTAAGCTCCGGTGAAATTAAGTTGCAGATTGTCATGCGATAATGGGTAAATCTGAGCCATTTCTCAAGTTCTTTTGCTCCAGGTGAAATATATGTAGTTCTTGTGCTTTTGACATACTGCTCTCTAATGGATCTGGAATGACCAATAGTTTCTTTTCTATTAGCTCAGTTCAATAGAGCTATGTGATTTTTGCATTGCTATTTGTAGAAGAACATGACTTTTTTGCACGCAAATCATATATTTGTTGCCTTGGACTGTGAAACTTAGGTAATACTTTCAAATGTGAAATTTCTGGAGATGGTCACTGTCTTGTGGTATTTCTTCTGTAAAATTTTGGTAATTATATACTTTCAAATGTGAAATTTCTGGAGATGGTCACTGCCTACCTGTCATTTCTTTTGCACTTGTAGATTTGTAAGTTATTCCTGTGGAATCAATGTTCACAACTTTTGACCAATAATTACTCAAAATTTGAACATGTTTAGTCTACAAGAGTTGCACCACTAGATTCCTACTTGGAATATCATTAATACCGATATTGATTTTGTATCAATCGGTAATATACTCTATGAGAGATTAATGGTCCAAGTGTAGTATGGTTTACTTTCTCCAAACATAATACACCCTATATTTTGGGATAGAGGGAGTATTAGTATAAGTAAATTATGCTAAATCTAGTAGGCAACTGATCCTTGAGTTAGAAATATTTGTTGAGTGGTGCTCACGTAAGGCCTCTACAAATGGGGTTTCATCTTGTAGTGAAAAAAGATGTCGAGTGAAGGCACTTGAGGCAAATGAAGAAAAAACAGGAAGAGGAACAGAAGAAGAAAAGAGGTGCTGATGTGGCAACAAGGAAGAGGCAGAGGGATGAGGAGGAAAGGAGGGAACAGGAGAGAAAAAAGAAATGCATTGAAGAAGCTTGAAAACAACAGACGCGACCTATGGAAAGAAAGCATGCCAACACTGACAAAGAAGCTCATCCAGAAGCTCATGTGAGTAGAAGCTATATTGTTTATGTCTACCAAGTGTTCCTTAATATGATAAATATTTGTTACTAAGCATTTAAGTCGTTCTTGCAGGATAATAAGGAGCGGGCAGAAGAATTTGGTCAAGCGGTGAAAGTCCCAAAGAAAGTTGATGAAATAACGAGGCCTTGGAGGAAAGGCCACTAACAAATCACAATGAAATGGTTGTGATAACCGATGAGAGGCGTGAAATTTTTGGATCTCATTGTCGAAAATATCCCAAACAAAGATTGAGGAGGTATGTTCTAGTCTTCACTTAGCTTTATCTTAGAAAGAACCTTGCGAGATCTTAAGTCTTAGAAAGTGCTGGGATACAAAGACGGCATATTATTTTTTGATGGGGAAAATGATGGAGATTCTCCAATTGGGCTACTTTGATTTCATTTGGTAGTGTTATTTCACTTCAGTGTCAGCAAAGGTTCTAATTGCGAATTCTCTGCTCTGTGGTTTGTTGAACTTTTGTAGTCATACTAGCTCTTTGCGCATATTGTTGGACATATTTGATTATCTATTTACCACTATTGTCTATTAGAGCACATGCTCTTGATCATATAAAATTAAAAGTAGTTACTTGTCTTTGTTTTGGTGTTGGCAACTTAGTTTGTTAGCTACTAGCTTAATTTGTTATTGGGACAACATGGAATAACCCAAGCACAGGATCAAACAGACAGGGTGTTCTTAGTCCACATGAATTTGTTAGCTACTAGCTTAGTTTGTTATCTACATCACTAAAAAAATGTAGTTACTTGTCTTTGTTTTGGGGTTGGCAATTTAATTTGTCTGTTTATTTATTGTGAGCAGCCTGGGGAATCTCTCTGTTCAGTCCTTAAATTGTTATACTAGCTTTATCTTGGTTATGAGAAATTATCTTTCAAAATCATATCAGTCTTACATTTTGTTGATCATTATTCTTAATGTG